CCCCTCTAAAAAAACGAAATTCAAAAGATAGGATCTAGAAATCTCCTGCAAGGAAAGTCAGGTAGCGTTATCACGTTTGAATTACTGATTACTGTACCGCTTTTTCCTTTCTGATGCTCACGGTGAGATGGTGAGATGGTTGAGATGGTTGAGATGTTATGTTGTGTGTATGTATTCCAGTACATACTCCATATAAAAAGTCCGAATCCCAATCCTAGATATCTCCCCCCTGACCGCTCCCCCTCCTCTCATTCCTTTCTCAATCCCCTCTTCCACGATGAAACTCCCACTTCAAATCCCCATCATCTCTACAATCCCCCTCCCATCCACAGCCCTCTCACCTAACACCCCTAATAAAATCCACACTATCTACAAAACCAACACCTCTCCGCTAAATCCTAAATCCTAAATCCTAAACCTAAACCTAAACCCCCTCCTCTCACCTTCCACAACCCCCGAGTTGATCGCCCCTTCCACAAAAACCCCTTGATCCAACTTCCGATTCAGATGCACGAGAATGATGCGCAGGGTGAGAGCAGCCAACATAGCCATGACGACCATGGCGCAGTTGACGCTCATGGCGACGATGTACCTTGGTTCTTTGGCATTTTTAGTCTCGATTTTTCGTTATGAGGATTGGGAGGAGTTCGTGGGTCAGGTTGGGATGGGAGAAAAGAAAAGGGAAGAGACATACTAGCACTCTCACTATACATATAACTCGCATAAATACTACTCGTATTACTAATCGCATTGATAAACGCCAGAGCCGCTGCTCGCTTCGCCGGCGGGCGAGGAAGCGAGTTACTGATCCACGCTAGCGCGACGACGTAGCCTGTGTACACGCCTGGAACCATGAGCATCATGGCGAAGTACCGTGGTCCGGTTTTGATGGTTGCGGCTGCGACGATGTAGGCGAAGATTGCGAAGAAGAGGGGGAGGGTGATGTGGAAGAAGCGTTCGCCTGTTCGGTCTTGGGGGTGTTAGTTAGGGGTTGTGGGGAGGGGGAAGGGAATGGGAGGGAGAGTGAGTGGGAAAAAGAGAGGGAAAAAGAGAGGGAAAAAGAAGGGGATAAGTACCGGCGTGCCAGGAGTTTAGGAAGGTGGTTATTACTGCTAGGACGTAGGGGGGAACGGTTAGAAGGAGCGTGTTGACATCGTTGTACTTGAGACTTTTCACCACGGTGCTATCTTCTCATTAGTATCTTCTTTTTTCCCCCTAACAAGATGGAAAGCAAAAATCGGCACGGGTACTGATACATACGGAAAGAAATTCGTCACCGTCCCCGAAGCCACAATGCCAAAAAGTAGCACCATCAAAACATACGTCTTGACATCCGAAAACGCAAGTTTCAACCCCTCCTTGAACGACTGCTTCTTCGAATCCACCCAGTCTTCCTGTCCGATATCCTCTTCCAGTCTCCAGACCGCGAGTTTTCGCTCTTCGTCCGTTAACCATGTTGTGGTGTTGGGGAAGTTGGGTAGGATGAAGAATGCGGCGGCCGCGATGCCTACGGTGATGGCTCCTTCGATGATGAAGAGCCATCTCCATGCGCGAAGGCCGTGGGCGCCGTCCATACCGGATTTGATTCCTGCTGCGATGAGTCCCGAGAAGGCACCACTTATTAAGGCCCCGGAGTAGAAGACTGCCGTGCGGAAACCGAGTTCTTTTCTGGTGTACCAGCAGGAGAGATAGTATAGACAGCCGGGCTACGTTGAAAAGAAATATGAGTTAGAACCTGCTTGTTTATGGGGTCGGCTTTGGAGTTTACTTACGAAATAAGCGGCCTCTACGAAACCTAGCATGAAACGACATGCGATGAGTCCGCCATAGTTTTGACATGCTGCTGTCGCCGCTGAGATGACTCCCCATACTACCATACATGATGGGAGATATATGGCTGGTTTTCCTATTTTGTTTAGGAATAGGTTGGATGGTACTTGCATTAAGAGGTAACCTGCGCTATTTTAGCATCTCCTCTCCACCAACGTAACACCATCTAATTCTCATACCAACAAATAAAATGGAGACACTGGTTTGAAACTCCGTATCGGATAATTTCAAGTCGGTCTCGACGCCAGCTAATTTGGCAGCTGCGATGTTGTTCTTTTAACCTCGATTAGAATTGTGTGTACTATTTACAGCTTAGATATCTTACCCTGTCCAAGTAGTTCATGATGTACATCAACACTATCATAGGCATCAACCTAATATCCAGCTTTCTCTTTAGTCGAGTCTCTACCTCGACTCTTTCCTCAGCAGTCATATTTCGAATGAATTCGGGAGCTTCAAACACCTTCGCAGGAAGCGCAGGTGGAGATACAGTATCGATGGGAGACTTTTCATCAATACTCTCAACTTGTTGCATTCGTGCTTCGTCTGAATCAATTTTACCCGCCACACCAACTTTCTCCTCATGATGGATTGTGGAACCCATGGTCAATGGTAATTTCCTTGGTCGTGAATCGAAGGTGTTGCAGAAGAGGGGACCAAGTGAGCTACTTGTACAAAGAAGCGGTTTAAAATACAAAGAAGTGAGAGAGGTGAATCAACGGACAGAGCTATTCATGTCGTACCCGATATTTTTCTCTCCATGGATAAAACATGTCTAGCCATGTCATCGAACCACTAGTAGAATTCATCCGGGTTTTCTCGGTCTCATTACTCTGACATTGATTGGATGAATGCCGTGCAACTTATATATTGACGGGACACTGTGACGCTACAAGCCCCAGCATCATGTCTACAAAGGCGGGGTAAAAGCTTCAATTAGCGGGAGATGTGGCAATCCGGGGTACTTGGGTAGCTGCTTTGGGAAGTGGGTAAGTGGGATACCCATCGACGACAGCTGCAGGAGAATATGTCATATTTTGGATACGGTATTGGGGGAAAGGGGGATATAGATCTTGGTAAGACCAGTTTTGAGCCTCTCCTCCATCCCATTGAGTGCTGGACGTCCCGTTTCTCGGTCCACGAAGACATGGACAAGCTCGCCTACTGCTTTCACCTTCTCCTCCCCTCGTTCAAACAGTCCAATCTCATAAGTCACACTACTTTTTCCGAGCTTCTTGACGCGGAGAGCAAGGTCGGCCACGGCAGGGAAAGCAATGCTGCCGAAAAAGTCGCCGTGAGAGTGAACGACAAGGCCATACTGAGAGCTGGTGGCTGGCTTCAGACCGCACTCTTGGATGAGATAGGCGTTGACCACCGAGTCGAAGAGAAAGTTGTAGACGGAATTGTTCATGTGCTGGTACATGTCATTGTCGTTCCTGGGGCTGTTTAGCTCGTCTTTCGCTTGAGATCATCTGATGGCAGCTACAGCTACAGCTACAGCTACAGCTCCTGTACCTACCATCGAGTCCGGTATTCAAGCTGGAAGGGGTAGTCAGCACGAACGCGGTTCTTGAGTTGATCATGTGACATGGTTGATGTGTTGTTTTCTTTGTAGTATTGTATTTTGTCGTAGAGTGAGTCTGGTGTTGAAGTCAGGGTTTGGATATCACACAAGAGTACGTGCTGGTCTGATAGATAGCTAGAGTAGGGTAGAGACTAGTCAACACTCCGTAGAAAATTCAGGTGGAGTGATGGGAGTCGGTGGTGGGGATTCCTCGGCCGGCGCTGCCGATCCCACTGACGAATGCCATGCGATGAGAACTGCACTGAACTACTCCTGCGCAGACTGGAAATATTTCCTAGCACCGTCGCGCAAAACCAAGTGCCGTACCTGCAGCACACAGCGCACTCATTTTTCTTCACATTGTTTACTCGTACTTGGTACAGTGCAGTGCCTAGTACTACTACCAGTACCTCTGCAACTACCCTCGCTGCCCTCGCTGCCCTACCACCACTGCCCCTCCATCCCCCCTCCATCCCCCCTCCGTCTCCCCGCCGCCGTGGCGCCCTCTCCTCGCATCCTCGCGTTGTTAGCTCAGCGCGCAGGCAGAATCAATTGCACTCACACCACCATGGCCCTCGTCGAGACACCCAACGACTCCGCTTATCCTCCACTGCAAGAAAAGAAACCCATAGAGGAACCTCCGGCAGTCGTCACGACACCCTGCGATCCATGGCCACGACCATACTACCTCGAGAATGGACTGCGGCGTGTGGCGCCATACCACTATACCTACAACACCTACTGCAAAGAGCGATGGCGAGGACGGGAACTGCTGGACATTTTTTCCAGCGAGTTCCGTGATCGCCCTCTGGAATACTATGTTCGTTTTCGGAACACCAAACGCTCCGGTATCCATGCTGTTGCTAATGGACTTAGAAAGATGCAATAGAGCGTGGCGCCGTCGTCGTCAATGGGAACAAGGTCCCCACGCCAAACCACATTGTCAAGAATGGCGATGTGATTTCACATACCCTGCATCGACATGAGCCACCCGTGACTGCTCTCCCTATCTCCATACTTCACGAGGATGAGGACATGATAGTCATCAACAAACCCTCGGGTGTGCCTGTCCACCCGGCAGGTCGGTACAACTACAATTCGGTGGTGGAAATCATGCGAGCGGAGAGAGGGCACGGCTGGAATCCACTGCCATGTAACAGACTAGATAGGCTGACCAGCGGTGTCATGTTTATTGGGAAAAACGCAAAGGCCGCAGAGAAACTCAGTCTGCAGATTCAAGGACGAACGGTACGAAAAGAATACATTGCGCGTGTCAGGGGCGAATTTCCAGATGGGGAAGTGGTGTGCAATATGCCAATTCTGCAGATTTCCCCCAAGTTGGGGTTGAATCGAGTCCGTGCCAATGGAAAGGCCGCTCGGACAGTGTTCAAGAAACTGGCATACTACCCCCCAGTATCGGAAGGCGTTGTCGATGCCAAAGACACCGACAAAGATGGGGCAACAAGTTTCACCGGGCAGAAAACGTCCAATAGTCGAGGCTATTCGGTGGTCAGATGCCTCCCGGTGACGGGAAGAACCCATCAGTTGCGAGTACATCTCCAGTTTCTGGGCCATCCCATCGCAAACGACCCCATCTATGCGAACCAAAGAGTGTGGGGTGCAAGCTTGGGTGCGAACGATGGGGACGGGACCCAGGACAGCGACGAAGACATCATCACTCGTCTTGCACGCATGGGAAAATCCGAGGTCGCTGATGCCGTGGCATATCATGATGAAATGGTTGATGAGTATAACAAGAAAAAGGCTGAGAAGATGTCTGGAGAGTTATGTGATATCTGCCAAACGCCCCTATACACGGACCCGGGTGAACAAGAGCTTACTTTGTGGCTTCATAGTCTTCGATATGAAGACGCTGGCGGGTCATGGAAATATGTTAGCCCTCTTCCAACATGGGCTTTGCCTCCAGGTGAGTTACATACGGTTAACTTCGACGACCTGGACTAACCACAACAGACGGTATGGAAGGACCTAGGGAAGTCGGAGGGATGGAAGAATTGGTGAAGGCAGTGAAGGATGAGAACCCAGAGATCGCATAAGCTTCCAAAAGTAGCGAATGCCATGATTGTGGGGCAAAGCAACGAGGAAAATGCCGTGAACCTGGTTTGAAAGAGGCAAGCCGTCTCTTGTTTCTTGAAAGCGGACCGAGAATGCTGCCAAACCACACGCAACTCAAATGGCCCATTGACCTTCAACGTTTTCAACGTTTCCAGTGTTTCCAATGTTTACACCATCGCTTCCAGAATTTCCAGAAACGGTAAGAAACGAGAGGGTAAACAACTGACGTTTGAAACACCACAGAAAGGCAAGTCACCATGACACCACCCGTGAAAGTAAACATTCGCGTCTTCGCAAAAATTGTACGACATCCCTGCCCATCAGAGACCCTGGAACAGGAGGTAGTGCTTGAATTTAAACGACTTTGGCTTCAAAAAAAGCATCGAGACCGAAACGAATGGCAAGTGTTAGTGCTATCCCATCTACTGTACAGTAGGCTTTCACGAAGTTTCTTTTTAAATCTTGTCGCTCCTATGTCCCGTTGCTCGTATTCCGCTTATCCACTCTCCGTACTGCAAACCATAATACATAGGATTCCTTTTCTCAGTATGTGAGGGATGGAAGATATTGAAGTTGCAGCGTAGGGGATGGATAGAAGATATGGAAGTTGAAGTTGCAGCGCCGGCATCTCATGCCACATTGAGTTCCGCAACCAGCAGCAGCAGCTCGTTACTGTAGGATCTACAAAGTATCTGTATCTGAGCGTATCGCCGACGGTAGTTCCAGCAGGAAACAATATCCACTTCCGCCCCTCTTATACTTCTCGGCTTTACGCCCGGATCCCAAAACACACATGGCTCCGACGAGAGTGAAAGCTAAGCAAAAAGTCTATCTCACTTAGCGCAGTCTCCGCCGGCCACACATCCCGATCTCCACCCACCTCACGATAGCCAACAGGTCCTTCACCGGTTCTCATCGACGACCACGTGCATTTCTCATGAGGGTGAGGGTTCAGGATAGGGAGCTCTCAGGACTCTGTTCGTGAGGTGCGCATTCCGCATTCCAGTTTGTAGGTGAGCATGGATGAACGTGGATGAACGTGGCGCAACTCTATTGCGTAAACTACCAGACACCGCGGGGACCCGCGGGGTAAGTCTCGTACAGATGTGATCTTTCACGTAGGCATTATTTGGAGGTGAAATTGGCTTTCTTTTGAACAGGACACCTTGGCTCCATAGCCAGGGGCCATTTTGACCTTTTCTTTGGTATAACAAGCCACTCTTACCCCCCACATTCGGCGGCAGACGGTCTTTCGCTTACCTCTGTTGTTCTATTGATGACTTGCACTAATCAATTTCCACCACACATCACCACTTATCAGAGGGGGGAGCCTATAGGCGTCGTTGCGTGGAGTATGTCTAACGACAAGATCAAACTCGAATACGCCAAGGGAGCCGAGGAGGGGAAATTCGAAGCTACAGAGGGCGCGGGGGACAGCAGCAATAGCAATAGCAGCAAGACGGAACCGAGGCGTCGAGGTAAGAGTCAATGCGTGCTTTGCGGCTCTGTGTAGCCCAGAACATAGTCATCTTTTTCTTCGACTCTAACTCCCTTAGCTTCTCGTGCCGGGACTCGAAGTGTAGCGACTCTGACCGAGGCCCAACTCGCAAGAAAGAGAGCAAATGATCGAGAAGCGCAGAGGTCGATTCGACAGCGGACGAAAGACCGTATTGAGCGTCTGGAGCAGCGCATAAAGGACTTGACCGAGGGACAGAATGACGAGCGATCCTTCGAGGAGATTCAGAGGCGGAATGAAGAACTCGAGGAAGAACTCAGGCTGATGAGGGAGGCAATTCCGCAATATGACGAGAATTCTCCCTATCCCAATCGCTCACTCAGACGTTAGTATACACACTTCATGATTCCTAATTGCACGCAGGCAAGAGTGCCATTGGTATTCAATGCAAGGAACGCCCATCAGATGTGGCTCTTTCTTCGTTGGTACACGGATTTGCTTTTCCCTTCCATCACCCGAGTATGATTCCGTTCGGCCACTGACTAACATTTTGTGCTCCAGCTGACCACTTGGGTATTCAAATGCCTCCGCGGCCCTTATACCAAGTACCATGGAAAATGCCCAATGTAAGCCCAGGTGCAACAGCATTATCTACATCATACCCAACACCTGGTCTCAACAGCGTATTCTCCGGGTCCAACTATTCACTTTCGAACGCTGGGTCCCCATTATCGGAGATGGGCTCTGGGAGTGATTACTTTGGCAGCTTCGATGTTGAACCTCCACAAATGAGTGCGTCTTCTGCAGGACGTAGCAGGCCAGTAATTGCTCGAAGTGTGTCATACCCAGATCCAGGCCAAGGTAGCTATGAGTTTCTCCGCCTCTATAATGTAATTTCTGACGTATAATAGAACAACAAGCATGGTCTCCAGGTCCGTTCGGATTTATGGGCATTGACGAGAATCTTGCTGGCTCTAATTGTGTGATGTCTAACAATCAGAACGCCAGGGCACGCGCCATGTCCACGATCCCTTCTTCCCGGCCGGCCTCTGCTTCCGCGTCATCCATAACCCCAAGACCATTTATGAATTCCGATCATACGCATCAGCATGGCAGTCTTTCTTCGAGCCCGGTCCTTTCAGCGCTTAAGCCTAGCTCAATGGCGAACGGGCCACACGCTGGACATCAGATCCCATTAAGTCTTTCACCAGTCTCAAGTAGTGCTCAATCGATAGTAAAAGGATTGCAAATCCCCCAGCAGTCCCCAACCAATAATCATCCCTCTTCCAATCTCTCGTCTAAATCGTCGTCTCCGCAAAGCAGCTCATTGCCTCAACCGCCTAACTCGTTTCTCAACCAGCCGTCGCTTCATCCTTGGGAGCTGCCCCTGAACTTGCTCCCTCCTACTGGTCCAGTTGATGCGATTCTCATTGGCCTTCTCCAGCGTCAAAGAAGGCTCGCTCTCGAAGGAGTTACCGGCGATGAACTCATCGGACCGCCAGTACCCTCTGTCCAAGCCCTCCTTCACCCGACAAGATCCAATGAAGTCCACCCTGTCTCTTCTGTTATCTCCAATCTTCTGCAAAGAACGACCCTTCGCGGCGTCCCGGAGAAAGTAGCTGTTCTCTTCCTTATCTACCGCATCACACAATGGCAAATCTCTCCCTCGCAAGAGACTTACAACAATCTTCCAGATTGGTTTCTCCCTCGATCCTCTCAATTGGTGACTCGTCACCCTATGTGGGCAAGTCAGATCATCTTTGGAAAGTTGAAGGATATCGTCATTCACAATCAGGAGGTTTATGCCACGGAAGAATTTCAACATATTTATTCGGCGAACGTGAATGTCAATTGGCCATACAGAGAACAGGACGTGATGACGTACGTCGGAGATGAGTCGCGGGTGGCGGATACGTTTGTGGAACACATTTGCCAATTCGCGAATTGGAGCTTGGATGAAGCCTTTTTTAGAAGGTATCCTGAGTTGAGAGGGTGTTGTAAGGTGACTGGGAGTATGGACACAAGTTCGTGAAGGAGGGGGGAGTATGCGATGGATGATAGGATTTCATGTGCATGGTTGGATCGGTTCAATTACGGGTATTTCAATATTCGGTGATGATTTTATGATGGGATGGGGGCGTAAAAATTGGATACTACTACCCTAGGCACTTTCTTCTTTCTTTTGGATATGAGTTAGGGAAGCTCTCCAGCCTTTCGAGTTCTCACCATACTCTGGTTTCCTTTGGTTCAGCAAAATACATATTTTAGTTTGTTAATTAGAGAGCTTCTAAGTCTTCATTCGTCCTATTCCAAACCAGTCTCTTGCAGTTGTGCCCTTCTTACGAATTCATCCTATCTACTACTCGATTAGTCATTCTCTATGTTTCAACAGCATATGAGTGGAGACCAGGATACAAGTGTGGCCTCTAGATGGAAAATTGGGTTTATTCCTTTTATTCTCTAGGATAAGAGATATTTTTGACTGCAGCCATCATGTTGGATGGCAAGCATCCAAACTTTTACCTGCCCCACGAGACAGATCATTACTCATACTTCGTATATTACCCGTATAGGTATAGGTATACACCTGCAGTATATACTTCTCCGGGTGTTTAAGCGCACGGATCAAGCGTGTCGTATTCCAGAAGGAGCAGTCGGTGAGCATACCGCCAAAACTCAACTTCAAGGTCCAAACTGTAGATGCCTTATAAGGCACTGTATCTACACCAAAATCCCCTCGGACCTGCCCTTGCTGCGCCTCTCAGAGCTCGGTAGAAGTCGGAGTACGTTCAAAATAGGCGTAAAGGTGGATTTTACAAAAGATCAACGTCGAGTTAGGGCCTTTGTATGGCACTTGCGGCATTAATTCCTTCGGAGATCATGTCTTAAACGGCCACTTTAAGCCTGAGGCATATGCAGTTTGGACCTTGAAGTTGAGTTTTGACGGTACGGACGTATTGACGAGCTAACTTTCAGCCCAGAAAGCAATCGATCGACTTGGTAACCACCCTTTACTTTCTGCCCAGCAAACTAGAAGATCTTTGGAAGGTTCTTGTGGCGCGTTGCGATCTCTTGTTTTGACTCTTGGGAAGTCTAACGGTTTAGGCTCATCTATCTGACTTTGTGGGTGCCAAAGGAAAAGGAAGTTGTGCCAGCTGTTCTAGAAAAGCGTTCGTGATAAGAAGGGGTGATTATACTTTAATACACCTTCTTGCAGTAGTACCGTACCCACCGACTCCTCATATACAGTTTGACACTTTGGCTATACAGTTTGATAGCTAACCCGTTTAGGAAGTCAAGGCGTTCCGAGCATTCGACCTATCGGAGTACTTAAAACACAGAATTGGCTTTATCAACTTGGGCCGGTTAGGGTTAGGGTTAGGGCTAGGTGTACGGGTGAGCGGAATATGAAACCCCTACCACCCACGCTGTTAAGCTCTTACCTACCCCCTTGGGTTGAGGGGTTCGGGTTAGGCACCTTGTTTAGTAGTACCGTAGTAAATCGAACTTACTTCGAAGTAAGAAGGATGCTGGGGTGTGTAGGTGGAGTACCGGGACGGCTTGTTAGGCCACGTAGAAAACAGATTTCTACGGGCCCTTCACTCATCGTAATCTTCTACGCATTCGAAGAACTTCTAGCGAGTAGGAGCCTCTAGTTCACACTGTTCCGTACTCCACCCACAAACCCCCGCATCCTGCTTAAGTTCGATTTACTACGGTATAAGTAAATTACTCGACGCGTTTCCTACTTACACCCCAAATACGACTAAAGTGGAAATACCGAGCCACCGGAATATACGGAACGCCACTTTCCCCTGAACAAGTTAGCCGTCAAACTGTATAGCCAAAGTGTCAAACTGTAAGTATAGGAGAAGTCTACCCATCCATCTTGATTTTGCCCTGCCCCAGTATCCAAAAGCTCCTCTTCACCTTACTTAACCTTCTTTTTTTCCTTCTTCTTTTTTTCTTTCCGCTCCTCGTTCATCCGAAAGAAGAACCTTAGAATTGGGCATAGAACAGGTACGGAGCTCGCCTAGGAAGTTTAGCAACATGGCCAAACCCGGTTAGCAAATGGATATCGTATTCGCCTATACCCCAAAGAGTTCCTTTCGCAAGGTCGAACTCACCCCACCTACACGTGGAGCCCGGGTTCTGAGGGAAAGTCTCACGAGTAGAAATCTCAGACCAGGAGAAAAGTTTCAGGAGGATGATTGGATGGATGTTTTGGGTTATCTTTTTGTTTTGGGATGATGGGAGGGCCGGTTGGCAGGTCCTTCAACTGGGTTGTGAATAGCCGGACTGTTTAGCCTAAATCTTTGGGGATTGGCTTTGCCTTTGTTTCGCTTCTTCTGGGTTGTTTGCGGAAGGGTATGGACATATTGGACGAGGTAAATCGGCGATTTGGGACCTATTTTTGACATGGAGAGGGCTTTCTCTTATGTTTTACTTTGTGAAGAAAAGTCTGAGAGGAGGTTTTCCCCTATGGTTCTCGACCTGTTAAGGATTTTAATGTGGCTACATGTCCATGTCTACCTACCGTCTACCGTCAAAACTCGAGAGGGAGGACCAAGGTGTAAATGTCTGGGGCAGGAAGTAAGTGGGTGTCCTAGAGCTGATTTCCGATGGAATCAATACCGCAAGTGCCATCTAAAGGCCCTACAGTAACTTAATGCTGATCTTCTATAAAATCCACTTTCATTCCTATTTTGAACGTACCGTATTAATTGGATTACAAAATAACGTTCTTCGTTAAGATAACATGCGTATATCGTATATGGTTCTAAACGTTCGTAGGATTAGTATCTTATAGCTTTGACCAATTAGAGAGCTAGAATCTTAAATTGATAATTTTATGTTAATCTTTCTATACTTATTTTAGCACTACCATAGAGGTACTCTAAAAGACTCAGGATTTCAGAGCCGAACTCGTAAAACTATATTTAATAAAGCACATTTGAAGAAGTGGTATATATTCTTTTAAAGCTAGTTATTTCTAGTTACCCCGTATACTAAAAGTACCCCGCCGAGCCCGCCATCTACCTATATATATCTATATCTATATAATCCTCCTCATTGAAGTTAGGAGAGAACTTATAGTTATTACTATCGAATATATCTACTATCAGTAGTCAGCGCTGTTAGTAGTTATATCCACCTTATCTTCCTCGAAATTAATAATAAGTACCAAAAAAAGGGGTAAAGATATTTATTAAGGTATTACTTTTTTTGTGTATAAGGTTTATATTCGTCCCTGGACAGACCTTTTATCCCTTAATCTGTAACACCGAGGGAACTGGTAGGCAGAACGTCCTTATTAGGCTAAGCGAGTACTATTCTACTTTTTGATTGGCGAGAGTACTAAGGCCAGGCCTATTAGGACGTTCTGCCTACCGGTTTCCTCGGCGTTACAGATCATGGGATACTTATGTTATCTTGTAATCCAATGAATACGGTACTCCGAGTGCTAGCGGGGCTTGAAAAGTGTAGCAAGGGCAGCTCCGGGGGGATTTTGGTGTAGAGAGTGCCTTATAAGGCATGTACACCTTGGGCCTCCGTGACGAGTTTTGACGGTATAGCCCTAAGCCTCTTCCGGCTTCTACGAGTCCAAGAAGGCGCCGAGCCATGCCAATGAATGCTTATTACAGGAAGAGGATCTTCCCAACTAATCGAACCCTAAGGGGAAAGTTACTCCGAACCGCAGAAAGCAAAAAGACCAAACAGGCCAAAACAGACGAAACAAAACCCGCTTTCCACCCAGACTTCATCGTACCTGCACTTCGAATCCTCCACCATTTCCGAGTTGCACTCCATCACGTGCTCTCGCTTTACTTGACCACAAACCTACACCATTGACTTCCAATAACTTCCATGCTCGGTACCCTCGAGCCCGGTTCCCTTCCCGGCGGTCCAACTACCGTCCCAAACTCCCGATAAACCTCTCCCCAATCACCACGTCCGTCTCTGCCAGACAGACACCCCGAAGCGAAGCGTGATGCAGCCGGCATGATCCCCTGATCCCCGACTCTCCTTCAAATCCCATCTCCTAACTTCACATCCCCAGAGTCAACAAGCTCAACGGCCATTCCATGATCGTTTCCCATCCGGCAGGCATCAGACTTCTCAGTCCGTGGATTTCATACCCCGCCCTGCCATCTAGCCACCATTCTCCTTTGACGCAGCCCAGGAGGGCGTAGTAGCGGGCGAGGATTGAGAGTGCTAGTGCGTCTTCTTCTTCCAGTAGCCCTACCATGGCGCTGGGGATCTCTTCTGGGAACGCGAGGAGTCTTTGGCGTGCCCAGTGGAGGGGATGGGATCCGGTGCGCAGAGCGGAGAGGATGGGGTACAGGAGTTGGAGGGTGGAGGTGTAGAGGTATTTTCTTTGTGGAGACACGTGGGTGGAGTGCAGATAGGGGAGGAGATGTGTGTCTTCTGGGATCAGGAGTATAGGAGTTGAGGCTGAGGGTGTGGAGGTGGAGGTGGAGATGGGCTGTTCTAGATCCAAAGAAGCAGTGTTTGCCAAGTGTTGATGGATTTCTGTGGTTCCGATTAATGGTTCGGTAGCGAGGACTATCTCCCTTGTACCCCTTTGTAGCCGAAAGGCTGTCACGGGAGGCACGTACCCCTTCTCGCTTGAGAGATAGATCGGCCGCAGATGGGCGTGCAGAGAAAGAAGTGCGGATGTTACAAGTAAGGCTTCTGCGTTCTTGGCATGGAGCTGCGAAATGTCATTGCGATGGCCGGCTATCGTGTTGTCTACAAATTGGTAGGTCGCGGCGCGAAGGGAGGAGTGTTCAGGGTTAAGCGAGAGTTTGTGGAGGGCTGCGATGCCTAACAAGGCGTTGTATAGATATGGAAATTCTAGTGCCATGGTGGGAACCTTTTTGGTCCAGATGGAACTTACTTGGGAGCTGCTTGGAGGCATTTGATATGCTGTGGTGTTTGTGAAGTGACTGAACAGTTCTGTTTCCATCGTGAGAGGAGAAGGACTTCCTTCAGCGTCCGAGGTGTCAGAAGTATATGTCGAGGCATTTGATGTGAGATGAGAGCTGTTTGAGTGGTATAACTTTGCATCGTAATAGCACTCCTTTTCTGGATTTGGAAATCTCTTGAAGCACTGCCCGCAAACTGGATGAGCTTCGTCGCACTATTCGAGAAATAAGTCAAAGTCGAGTAGGGGTTTGCTGTATATTCACTTTGATTTTCCTTTCTTTGCATATTTGACAACCGTTTCTCGACTTCCTATGTGGTCTTTGTGTTCTTTTATGGTGGATGAATGTTAAGTCCATTGTATAATTCAGGGGAGAGGGGTGAGAATGTTGGATGGAGGAGAGCATAGAGATTCATTATGAAATACTCACATAGTATTTATATTAGAATGTATCTGACTTCGAGAGAGATATAATTCCTCATGACTGTTATCCACATCGTGAGATCATTGCAAATGCCCAAATATTTTGATGATCCTTGAGCTGCGCAAAGATGCTGGCATCCCACCATATCTAGGGCTCACATGGATTTCACACAGCCGCAATATGACAACTGAATATTCTATGGATCTTCGGCTAAATAATTTGGCCACAAACACTAGTTACTGTCGAAGGATAGCGAGAGGACTGTTTTAACTATGAGTTCTCTTCCCGTTCTAGATTGTATAAGGAGCGATATTTCTTGGCTTGGCAAATATCACATACACAGCAAGACTATTTCTATTCTCACAACATACAAGAGCAAAGATCATGCTATGGAAGCCATCAGAACATTTTCAAGGAGTAATGGGGGAGAAATAATTGACCACTGAGGGGTAACAACCTTGGAGTTTGGAAGGAATTTAGAATGATAGTCCGATAATAGTAGTGTCTTCTCAGCTGAAACTGTATCTACCTTTGAAACCCCATTATTTGTGATAATAGGCCCTATAGTAACACAAATGGATAGAATGACGAAGAATTGAAGAGGTCAACAGAAAATGAGGCCACTTTTTGATCCTTCAATCGCGTGAGTAAGGATTGAAATCTGGACCCGTTGGATCGTGCAAGTCCTTACGCGAGATACGCGATTTTAACATAGCGGCACAGTAGGTAGATAGAACGAGTGGTGTAATACAATTTTTATGAACGATGTGTTTTGCTGTGAGGGTCACAAAATAGAACGAAAATGGAATCAGAGAAAGGAACTGTAGTCGGACGAAGACAATGCACAACCTGTGCAAATCCAAACCTCTCTACTTCTGCACTATCAAAAGTTCGATCCTCGGCAACTGAAGAAACAATGATTGAAGACAACAAAAAAAATTGATTGAGAGCTGCAACTGCAATTGAAAACGCAAAGGAAGCCTACATCCGCCACTCGAAAAGAAAGGCTATGTGTGCCATCAGTGAGCCGAATTGACCGAAATCCCCATATAAAGCCCCCCGTGTCCTTGGCAAGGACGTTAGCATCGGAATGAACAGGCTCATCTGAAGTACACACAGCTTAATGACCCGGAACATTTCAAATAACTCCTTGGGAAGTAGTGAAGCTGGACTAATGTGTACATCTCACGGGAATATCGCAGCTTTATCGAGGCTGCTGATTTTATCTCGAGATGCAGAACTATGACATAGACACGGGAGATTGACATGCACGGTTTCCTCTTCTGGATTAATCAGCCGTAAATGTTGAGCTTCAAGCTGATGTCGACCAATAACACACCCAAGCTTACGATGACCAAAAGTATTTGAGTTTCTCCAGCCATGGCGACCACGCGGGATTCGAGCCGCAAAATACGCCAGAAACTAGGAAATATTCTTCCTTTAATTTGGAATAATATTTCGTGTATACGACACTGCGGCACCATGACTTGTATTTATGATACGTCCTATCTCCAGGTTTTGGTGTCGCTTGTCGCGAATAGGTTGATGTTTCCTACGAGATCGCATAGAGCTTTTCAGATGAGACCCAGAAGAGACGAAAGAATAACTTTTCATCTTCTTTTTGTCTGGTTCATATGTATTCAGAAGTCGTTGGGTGTACAGTTGAAAGCCAATCATTTTAACAGCGATGACGCATTTGGCATATCAGCTCGGTGGAGACAGTGACCCAAGCCATGATTACTATAACCGCAGTTATTCTTTTGATCCTAACAGCATAGCCAAACTTTCCACCGTGGAAAATATTTCGCCACGAGAGGACGTTCACTTGCAAATATTTCTGGTCCGTGCCGTGCTAATTCCTGCAAGTAAGCGGTGACTATACAGTAGTACAGTATTGACTCACTCTTCAATGCGTTTCCGGGGTTACAAGGCGAGGTGGTCGCTCTATCAAATACTCCAAGCCACATGTAAAGATTTGTTGAAGAAAGCTGATGGTGATTTCATCGACTCGCACCAAGCTGAATAACCCGGCAACCACGGCCTTCAAAACAGCATAAGTAAAATGCCGTTTCCTATTCAAATCTGTTTTGTTCCTTCCCAAATCATTAATTTTCTGTTCCTTTCAGCCCCTTAAACTGTCTCATCATCATGAAGTTGACAGCACTTGCTCTTAGCTGCTCTTTCTGCCTTACTCTAGCATTTCCATCCCCGGATCCATCAAATTTTGCTCCAGCAGACCCAACTAGGTTCAAAATATGTCAAGAATACAATATTCCACTCAATATTACGGCCGAAATTACGGTCCCTACTGCGGAGTATACGCCATTCCAAAATAATTTGGATGTGGCCGCCTGGTTATTCAACCTCGCACGCCGTGATTCCAAAACAGCATTTGTTCCTCTTGCTGGATCCAAGAATGTCACGCATTCTTATAATATTTCCGGCACCATCTGCAGTCCTCTCACTCCTACTAATAACCAAACGACGATCATCCTTGCCACACATGGACTCGGTTTCGATAGAAGGTAAGCACACGCTACTGTATGACATGGAACAGTTACATGTACTGACCTGAACCAGATATTGGGATATCAGGAAGAATCCAGCAAACTATAGCTTTGTGGATTCTGCCATAAGTAGTGGATACTCGGTATTCTTTTACGACCGTCTTGGAACAGGGAAATCAACAAAGTATGTTTGCGACCATTTATTTACACATAGTATCAATTCCTGACTCTCATCAGGGTTTCCGGTTATGATGGAGCCCACGCAAACATCCAACTCGCAATCCTCAAACAACTCTCAATTCTCCTCCGTGAAGGAAAGTACACAGGCTCCCTCGGAAAGCCCGCAAAGCTAGCACATCTCGGTCACTCATTCGGCTCTTTCCTTTCAAACGCGCTCATATCCGATAGTCCTGAACTCTCAGATGCAGCCCTACTCACAGGCTTAGGCTACGACATGTCAGGCATGGCACCATCTATAGAAGCCCTAGCTCTCCGCATCGCCAACCGCCAGAGCAAATTCAAAGCCCTAGATAACGAATACCTAGGTGCCATTGACTCCCCAGCTTTCGCGCAATTCTTCCTGCACGCCGGATATTACGATGTAGCTCTCTTGAATCTTGCTTTTCAGTTGGCGCAACCCCTGGCCGCCGTTGAGTATCTGACCCTGGCGACTTTACAACTCAGTTCACCTGATTTTACAGGCCCCGTGATGGTAGGCATCATAATTTCATCCGGGTAATTGGAGGCATGCTAATGAGTATAGGTTATGGATGGTGAAAATGACTTCCCTCTTTGTGGAGGCAATTGTGTTGGGACCTTGGGTCCAGCGCAGACGTTGTATCCCAATGCTACTGATTTACAGACCGTCCTGCATCCTAATGTTGGTCATGGTATCAATTACTCGCTTAATGCGACTGCAGCTTATAATGTTCTGCTTGATTATCTTCATAAGCATGGTATATAAGAACCTGATTTTCTGATGCAATATTTGTGATTGTTGGCGAGTTGAAGCAATATGACGAAGTGGTGGAAAAATAAGAGAATAGGAATAGGGAAATTGGTGTGGACGTTTTAAATTAAGATATAGACTAGAACGACTGTCTCATAGCAATGTGTAATCATACTTGTTTTGCAGAACAGCACTGATACGTCTTATCCAATGATCGTGAACACTTGATTTCATAAAGCCCCTCCAGCAGAAAAGTAGACGTTGCACGCATGTGTATATAAACGTATAGATACATATATACATATGTGCGTGTGTGCATGTATTCTTCTTGGCAAAGTTAGTATGGTAAACTCGGTCTTAGAGACAATTCTTGGTAGTATGCCAGAGACATAAACCTTACACATCTAATCCATGGTGGACTTCCATGGTTTCGGATGGACCTACAAAGTAGCACTGGCCCACTTATCATGCTCAGAGTTCTCGATAACTCTTCCCTGACTTTTGTAATCAAGGTTCTGCGATTCTGAAGGCAAGATTGGTTCGCCAGCAGTACAGAGAACCAAAACAGGAAGTGTGGAATTCATTAGGACAGAATCTTCATGAGGCATGATCAATACAAACGGCCAATGATTTCAGATTTCTAAAACCGTTCATTGTCTAAATGTCAATCGATGATGAGAAGAAACACAAGGCTCACTATTCTTGAAATATACCCGCAAATGTGAACACCTCGCTCTCTATTTCGCGCCAGAAAGAAAGAAGGACAAACTTTTGTATGGAATGATAGAGAGGTCCATAAAGACAGGAGAAGCAAGAGAAAACGGTATGGATGAAGCGTTTAACCATCCTTCAAGATCCCCTGCAACACATTTCTGACCAGCTCCAAATCCCTCTCCACATCAACCTTCCAAGTACTGATTGCAATCCTCACAGCACTCTCACCCTGCCATTTAGTCCCTGAAACATACATCTTCCTCGTAGCGTTAATCTTGCCTACCAACTTCTCATTGAGTAGCGGGACTTTCGCCTTAAAGAGGACGACGATATGAGTGTTTTCATAAGCCGGTCGTTCGATGGGTGTATTGGTCCCGGTAGGCTGCGGACTGGAAAGTGAATAATGATGGCTTGGTGCCATATTTGAGGTCGGAGGCGCAGGTCCCTGGGCAAGAAGTTCATAACCTGGACTACTATCTACGAAAGCTGAGAGAGCGCGAGCAAGACGTACTTGTCTGGCAAACATTTCGGCCAGGCCGTTGCGACCGTAGGCTAGAAGGACGGCGTAAACAGGGAGAGCTCTGAAACGACGAGAGTTTTCTAGTCCGATGTTGAGTGGAGAGGCAATTGAAGATGGTCCAGTGGAGAGGTAGACTGCGTTTGCATTTTGGAAAACGGAAAACATAGTTTTTTGAGATCGGGTGAAGAATACGCCACAGTCATAGGGAACATTGAGCATTTTGTGTAGGTCGCTCCCGATGGAATCAGATAGTTCGAGACCGGATGCGGAGATAATGAGGGATTGAAATTCAGGAGTTGGTGGGAGACTTCTTGCGAAGAGGCCGAATGCTCCATCAGCATGTAGCCATGCTCCATAAGTATCACATAATTCTCTGATCCTTCGAAGGGTTGAAATTCCATCTGTGGCGAAGCGACCAGTGTTGACTTCTCCAGCACTCAAGCAGACAATACTGGCAACCCCATCCTTAGAACGCTTTAGCTCGGATTCCAAGAGTTGAATATTGATACGCCATGGTTCGTCTTTGCTGAATGGGATATCCTTTACTGAAGCTCTCCCAATACCAACTACACTTGCAGCTTTATATAGCGAACTGTGGCCCATTGTTGTCAAAACTTGAATCTCCTTGATACCAACTCTTGAGCAAGCGGCCAGGAGACCCAGTTCCCCAACTTCAGAATTTTCTCCGGCTGCTTGAAGTCTAGAGTTAATGATTGCTTCTCTTCCACATGCCAGCCCCAAGATGTTTCCAGCGGTTGCTCCAGTGGTGAATATCCTGCCATTCAATTGGTCTCCCAGACTCAGTAATCCAGAAAGCATGCTCAATGCCCTATCCTCTACCGAAGTGCTGATACTCTGGTCTGGTAAATGTACTTGGACATTCTGATCCCAAGCAGTTACGATGTTATCAGCTACTGCATGCAGGAGATCTTGGAGTCAGTGTTTTCATCCCATATAAATATGGAGAGTATGACGCCAAACAAAGACTGGAGAAAGGTGAATTTCCTTGGGAGGGAAAAAAGAAACAATCTAACGACATATTCTGAAAGATGAAGAGATATCATGGAGAACACCCACCTTCAGCAATTGGAAACATTCCTCCTGTGACAAAGCCATAATAATTGCCCGAAGTCTTTGGTCCATTGAACCCAGCACAAATATCCGCGATCAAGTGGTCGCGTGCTGACTCCTCCCCAAGTCCAGACACAGGCAAGGCAAGGGGCAGAGATTTTGTAGCTCTCGCTATCGCTGATGGGGCTGGGAGTGCATCGTTTGTTGTTTTGTCGAGTGCAGCCTGGATTTTTGCATATGACGAAGTTACAAAGTCCATCTTTGGGAACTTTGGTCCACGAATTTACAGATGATTGGCGTGACGAGGTGATGGTGGTTAGTCTGTAAACACCACTGATATTATTGTCGCCTGATGATGTCCTTGGTTGGCGTTTGCATACGATGTATGAAATAGTGCTGAGTCAGTTTTTAGTAATCCTTGAATCCTGTGAGTTTAACTATGACTCGTCATAATCAGGTGATAATAAGATGCGCTTTCTTCTGAGCGAAACAATAGTGTTATAAAACAATTATTGCCCCAGATCTCCTGGAACACCTGAATTGTTTATTGGTGATGTTATTGGACAACCGCCGTGGAGTATCCCGTGGAGGTATTTGCATCAGCGCAACATCACTTACGTATTTCTGGACCCCTTGTTAGTGATAAGGTTAGCCACGGCCCTTGTTTTATTAGTATCCCGTCAATTACAGAATTTCGGGCCGTGGAGGCGGAAGTGGAGGCGGCCCCTTAACCTAGCCATTTCAACCCAACTGGTTCGCTCTAGACAAGGTTGATCGGAGATAGAGACTACCTCCGTACTTTATCCTTTATTTATTTTCTCCCGACAGCGATCGTCCTTTCAACCTCAACAATTTGCTCTTACTCAAGAGCAGAGAGTATCTGAGGACGAAGATCGTCTACTCTAAACTTCCCGGACTTGCTCTTACTGATTGGTACTTCATTGGGAATGCAGGTACCTACGGCGTTCAGGGCCTTTACGTCTCTCTGATTGTGATGATTGGTGCCGCCCGCAGCATGATTGTGGGATCGTGGGACTCGCCATGACTGTGGGTGCAGGAAAAATGTCAAGGGAAAGAAGCCCAAGACCATTCCAAAGGGTGTTGATCTTGCTGGTGTCGTTCATATGTCCACCGCCGTATCCGCAACGGCATCACCCGAGGTTCACAATGTCTAAAATCCACATGGGTCGATAACAATAATCGGATGTGACATGCATGTCACGGTGGAAGTGATTTGAGATAGTCATTCAAATTTCATCATCGAGTGCTTGCTCGCCTTCTTGCAGCGGAAGCAGCAGCTTGCAACCGTTGCGTCAGCTCCTCACAGATTGTGTCGATCACCTCTAGGTCGGGGTCGTACAACAATGAACCTGGTACTGCCTGGCTAGACTGCTGGCTTGAGGTCGCTCTTCCACAGGCTGAGGCTTCAAAGTAACCAAGAGGTCTGACCTTGTTCTACCACAACATGAATATAAAGTCAGTATCTTTCGTTGAGGTAGATGGGTTCTTCTTCGTCTAGAGCACTTGGGATGTCGATTCCGGAACGAGCTCAACCCCACGCTAAATTGTCGTCTCCCGTGTACAAGAATCACATAGAAGATGCAATGCGAAGCGCTAGCAAAGGCACTACGGAAAACTGAGGCGGGGACCATGCCCATCTCCCCTTTAGGTCTCCATTCAGGCTTGCAGACGCAGTCAGATGCCCAGCCAACTGTGGTTCGGGTACCGGCGACCTTCTTTATTTAGCGGGGACTTGGGACTTGGGCGGTATCGTGCAGTTGCTTTGCACAATATCCTCTCCTCTGGACGCAGTGGACGACAGCTTGAAGAAATCTGAATCTGCAATTGAGAGAGTCTGCCGCGGCGCTGCTGGTGTTTAACGTTCGGGGCGAAACAACTGTGTGAGCGTGCTACTCGCTAATCTACCCTTGGCTGAGAGATACTTTGATCTTCCTCCATGTTCCGCTCGATTGACTCTTCAGCTTCAATAGGTGATATCGTGGCTGCAGAGTGGCATCCACTCGCTGTACGAATCTCTCCGTACTCGTACAGAAGATACGCCTCCTCCCCCAGAAAACCAATGTAAGATCTGACCGACCCGAGGAGCGCTTGTTGGCCCGAAAAAGCCATCCCTTGCCCAATCATTCCCATTTACCGCAACGCTGGGATTTTTCTGGAGGCTTTGAAATGCGTTCTCACAGCTCGCACAGGGGCTCCTCTCTGGGAACCCCCACAAGTGCGATGACCAGACCCAGACCCCGACCCCAAGGTTCAAGATCCCCCTGGGAAAGTATATACCAGCCCTGCTGCTGCCATTATCGATGATCCACACACTCTTGTCCCACACTTCGCTGCTGGTGCCCTTTTACTTGGTAATAAATATGAGCTATCGCATGGCTGTGAGTCGTACGGCTTGATCGAAATTTCGCAATTGCTTCCTGTGTTGCACAAAAAGCCAACTGCGTCTGTCGCCGTCCCAAAACAGCCATTTTGGACAGATTTTGGATGGACAAGCCGGGAAAAGTTTCAACTACTAAAGGAAGAGGTGTATGACCTCGAGGTCGCATTGTATGTGTACAGATGACATACTTCGACAGATTTAAATCAAGGGCTAAGGAGCTAGAAAGTGCAGGGCGACGAACTTTGGAATCCTCGGGTTTTAATGCCTCCTTCAATATGTCCTTAACAGCATCCAGTATAAGTTCCACTGTGGGATTTGGTACACCTATCGAGCCTGATGTTCGTTCTCATTTGCCGTTCTACTGCCAAATAATTTCAACGCTGACTGAAAGCAATATAGTCTCCGTCTCAGGTCAATAGCCCAACAAATGAGGAGTAAGTGGCAATATAACCTTTCCCAGGCCTTTGGAGACGATGCTGTCCCACCAACAATGCTGTGCCGGCCGTCAGCCATCTCATCTGACTTTTTTTTCCATTTAGCCTAGCAACACAATCTCTCACTGATAGTGTTTTTGCATTTCCCAAAGAAAATGGCCGAACATATCACGGTTATCGGGCCGGCAGTAATTATGTCGCTCTTATCGCTCTCAATGCATAACTGACAGACTTCTGTAGCTTACAACTTCCCGAACGACCACAACGAAACCGATCGCCTCGATTTTCAATATGAAATTCTGAAATACTGCTTTCGGGATAAGAACTATTTTGCGCCCATAAATGACCCAAAGGAAATTCTGGATATTGGCACGGGTACAGGACAATGGGCAATAGAGATGGGCGACAAATTTCCAGACGCACAGATCCAGGCTACGGATCTCTCTCCAATCCAACCTGACACAGTCCCGGAAAATGTGCAGTTCTTTATCGACGATGCTTCAGAAGAGGATTGGGCACTGCCACCAGCCTATTTTGACTACATCCATACACGAGTACTACTCGGCTGCTTCGAGGATTTTCGCGACATTATCAAAAGGGCATTTTATTACACAAAACCCGGTGGGTATATGGAAAGCCAGGAAATAATGTCGACGTTATATTGTGACGATGGAACAATGCCATCTGACTGGCCATTCCTAGAATGGAATAAATACCTGGATGATGCCGCCATGGCGGCAGATCGCCCATTGAGAATTGGCAACAAAATGAAGAGATGGTATCAACAAGCGGGGTTCGTGGATGTCCAAGAAAAGGTATACAAGTTGCCAGTCAACCCTTGGCCGCGAGATCCACACTTGAAGACGCTCGGAAAGATGCAAGAAGCCAATTGGCTCGCTGGGTTGAATGCGATTAGTATGGGACTGTTTTCTCGAGTTTTTGGGTGGAACAAAACCGAGATTGAAGTAAGTTCTTTTCACGAGATATCGACCGACGTCAGGACTGACTTCAACAGGTATATCTGGTCAATGTGCGGAAATCGATATCCAATAAACGCGTCCACGCTTATAATCGCGTCTTTGTGGTATGGGGTCGAAAACCTACCGAGGAAGAAATGGCAGCCAAGTCGCAACCTGTCTCTACGTCGACACACACTCGACAAGATGCCGCGCCTCCAGCTCAGACCAACTCTCGACCTGTTACGGCTGTTCCTCATACCCCCAGTGGCGAGCGGGATCAACAAATCGACGACCCGAGTGGGAAGGCTGAAGCAGGCTCAAACGAGCACGTCTTCGGTTCGATGTCCTTGAACAGCCCTCCAAATAATGGTAAAACGAAAGAAGATCAATAAGTAATAAATTGTCCTAAGCTCAAAGGGTGATACGGAACAAAAGGAGCGAGGAAGAATGACGAAGTACTCGATGTAAGCATAGCATGGGCGTATTATTGCAGTGGACACTCTCGGCCATAAAGACGATTGGTGTATTATGAATAAAAAATTGGGTAGATCGGTCTCAGGAATACCTTGGTCTCGATTTTCTGATTTGATGGGTGGTGGAGTTGTACTTCTTTCGTATTACATAATGGAATGAAGATTACGATTGATGCTTTACCTTTGAGACTATCATTGTTGGAGAGGACTGTGTTATAGTTGGTGAGTACATATAAAACATGCAGTGCTTTATAGCGATATGAGAATTCTTGTGAAGAGAAAGCTTTTTATCACCCCCCAGCCTATGCATGAAAAGAATCGCTTCCAGGGGGTCCTCCTCTCAAAGATTATACTTAAAAATTGACATGGAAGTCCTGATCAATGGCAGTTGTTGTGCTCTTCATCATGGGCTGGTTTGCTGCGTCAGATCTAGCTGGGTGAAGTTTGAAAATGTTCCACTCTATATGAGTCATCTTCCCTTGTTTGCTATGGGACTGGGTAGCCAGAGTACACTCCTCGCAAAGAATACAACGACCTTGTGTGGTGTGTAGTCTTTGTTACATTGTAAGCACTTCTCAGGAGTATATATGACAAAAGTGTCCATTGAGGCGGGTTTACTAGGCCAAGTGGCGAGATGTCGATTTCGATGTTGTCCGGCACTGATACAACAATATATAAACTTTTAGAATAGATTCTTGATAGAGAAAAGTATACAAATATCTATGTTCCTTCAAAGGGTGAGAGAACGTTGATGTTTTATCGCCATCAAAATTGATATTGGAAATGACATTTGATTTAGCATTATATAGAACGTACTACTCAATAAACATACTAGTAAAGAAAACCAAGAAACACTGTGAGATAAATTTTCCTACTAGAACCGGAAAACCAGGCAGGAAAATTCGAAACATGAAACCTTCATAAATTTTAATCTAAACGTGATATAAGATTGACGAAAAGAAAACGAAACTGTGCTATACATAAACCGATCTAGTGCATTCTAGTAAGACGGGCTTCTAGTATTCTTGTTTACTCTTACCATTTGCAAGGAGCTGGTCCCATCAAGTTGTAAAAAGAACCCATCTAGCCATGTAGTTATTTATACGGTAAACGACCGATCTACCACTTATTTACCACTCAATCTTTCATAAGTGTTTTCTATACAACTTTGATAAACATAAAACTGCTAACTACTAGTACTATTATACTATATGCGACCACTATATATACCCTAACAATAACAGCCTGGAATATTTATATGTTACGACATGTTGGTCGGTCCTAGCCAAGACTCCTGTCTCTACTACATGACCCCCTGTCTCGATTACCTAGGTGGATGCCTAGTATTCTAGTAGTCTCCCTTCTACTCGGTCAGGGTCGTCTTATATTAGACGCTCCCTGCTTACCCCCTAGCTAGCCCTTTATCTTAAATACACTTTTCTAGCTCATTCTCACAGTCTCTTGTTTCGTCCTTGACATTATGCGCTCACTTATATATCTCCGTCGTCTGATAGCCTGGCAGGTGTACAGGTGCGTAAGTAGGAGGATTCAGGTCTAGAAATATAGCTCTTATAAGTACTACTATTAGCGTTCGGCAACTAGAATTCTATTCTATTCTAGACCCCCCCCTCTAGAGTTATTCTATTCTATTTAGAGATCCTATGGAATAATTCTATTCTATACCTTTATTTTATAAAACTCTATTGAATAAAATTATATAACCTAGAAAAAGTCTTACTAGTTCAATAGGCTAATAAGAGGCCTAGATTTTAGCTTTACTAGTACTATAACTATAGGAATATTACTAGTATTACTATATATATTATAGATTCTTTTAAATACTATAAATAACTATTATAGTATAAATAGTCTATATATAATTCTAAGTTACTAAAAAGTCTCTATATTATTTAGCTATACTATACCTACTTAGCTAATTAATATTTACTATTCTTAAATCTTTACTCTTTTATTAGTCTACTCTTATTAGTTAGATATACCTCTAGAATTCTATAATTCTATAGAATTCTAGAGGGTATTTAATAGAATATTCCATTCTATTTTAGAGGGGGTCTAGAATTATTCTAGATAGAATAGAATATAACTTAGAGATTCTATGGAATATTATTCTAGACGTCGAACGCTAACTACTATATATAAGATACTACTATATATAAGACGTGCTCTAATTATGATTCGACGATTCTAATTCCATGCGAACATGTGAGTAAATTACGCACTTATAACAGAAGTACCTACTTGTCACGAATCACGTGCTCACGTGATACTTGTCATAATAAGAGGCGCAACCCTCGACAGGCATACCCAGGTTTCTTATAGCAAATAGGGATCGCTTAGGGTAGCTAAGCGATCCAGGGATTTCCATTGGTTATGGTCACATGATTAAGTTGGATCGCTGGATCGCTCGGCGACCTAGCGAAACGGACCGCCAGCTCGACAGGCGAGTTGGCTACCCAGATCATAGTACTTGAGGATGAAGGTTCTATATAAGACTGGCACGTCTGCCATTAGATAGGAGCTTCGTGCTCAACTTAGTTATCAATCTTATCATATTAGTTTGACATCTTTGATACAAGTAACGAGTTCACTTCCAAGTGAACAACCCGATAGTCTTCTTCTTATCATAGCATACCAACCAGCGAACACCCAGCCAAGTTTAGTTAGCCAGTTTGGGTATTCGTTACACTACTATCTTTGAAACCAACATTACATTACTGTCAACGAGTCAGATCAGGTGACCTGCGTTTATTCATGAAGCTATTCACAATTATGGATAAACCAGCACAGACCAGTGTCAACCGATTTAAAAGATAGATCTCCTTAAGAATCTCTTCTCTCCCTGTAATCAATCTATTCAACCAAGTCGCAATTGTCCTCGACTTGCACTTGTACCGTGACAATTACTAGTGTAGGGAATAGTGCAACTAAACTATGTGTAAAATCAGTTGAAATTTGAAGCTATTATCTAGTCTAATTCTAAGGTTTCTCTAGCAATTGAACTGTCCACTTCCTTCGCAATTCTCTCGTCGTCCTCAATCTCTAGCTGCTTAATCTGCTTGTCAATCCGCAATATAGCCTCCTCCATATCGAGCAAACTCAACCAGTTTTTGAGACACGATAGAGCGTTAATTGAAGGCATTCCAAGGCGGTTACGACGATCTGTTATTATTATTTTAGCACCAGAGAATACTCGTTCAGGACCAGCTGAAATAGCAGGAATTGAAAGTATGTCAAGAGCCATCTTCGATATTATATATAAAGATTTCTTCGAAAGAAACCTACTATCCCTCTAGCTTATAAGATTTAGATATTGTTGTTGTTGAGCAGGTTCTAACCACCATGAAATTACATCTGTACAAGTTACCACTCGTAGAGAAGAACAGTATAACTCGTACTCGTCAACGATCGGCAACTGGAATTCCATTCTATTCTAGAGGGGGGTTACAAAATATTCCATTCTATTTAGAATAATTCTAGAATTATTCCATTCTATACTCCCTATTCCACTAGGAGTCTATAGAACCAAGTCAAATGACCCAGAAAATGGTCCACCCGTCCCAGATGACTAATAGGAAGCCCAGCACTAAGAATATCTATTGTAATAGGTAGTCAGTTCAGTCTACTTAGGTACGATTCCTAAAAAGGGTATTAGAGGAATTAAGTAATAGAGAGATTAAGTCTTAAGACAATTATTGCGGACGAAGAGAAACCTTGGAAATTTAGTATAAGGAAGTTATATTATATAGTATAAAATTGAGTAATTTTCCCTATAATTCCCCCTAAATCCCCCCTGAATCCTGCCTTCTGATTGATCAGAGACATACTCTGGAATTCCATAATTCCATGGAATCGAGTTCCATTTGCCGATCGTTGGTACTCGTCGGATGAGGTGTTAGCGTCTGATGATTCGTATTCTTCGCGGAGGAATTGTAGGAACGAGTTCTCATTATCCTTTGGTGTTGATGGCTGGCTATTTGTATGCTTATTTGTATCAGGAGGTGAAGGACGATATCCCGAAGTCCAGAGCTCGAGTACCAACTTTCTAGCATCCCCTTGAAGTCTACTGGTCCAATTCTTCTCGATATACTGCCATTTGTGCCTTGGATTCAGTATAAGTGCGCCGGCATATGCGGGTGATTCGTCAGACTCTTGATAGTACTTATCAAGCTTCTCCCAGCCAGAATCAAACATCTTGCTAAGTACAGGATCGTCCTAATATTTGTCTTTTGCGCGCTCGAAAAGTATAAGACAATAAACTAAATTTGGTTAAGTAGGGCACAGGTAGTATTTCTATTGTTATTACCTAATTAGGTAATAGTTGAGTCGTTTACACTTGCGAGGGGGGTTGTATCGGTAGTTTTCTTTTTGGCTAATTTACTCGTAAGTGGGAAAAACACGACTTGGAACTTGAAAGTAAGGAGATAATATAATTCCGTGAAAATTCGGAGGCGGGAGTCGTGGTATAGTTTATATTTCTCGTTTAGTCGTTTACTATATTTATATACTATTTTATTCTTGGGCTATAAAATACTAATTGTAACCGTGTGGAGTGAACCACTGCTTGCTGTGATGAATACGGAGTCAAACGGAAACTGCTGTATTGAGCGAACAACAAAGTGAGGAAGGAAGAGAGTTCCAGAGGAACGAGAGCTTAAATACAGGATGCCAGCAGCGCGCACGTGACACATACTACATGCTGCGCTACACGTGATCAACCCCTAGTTCCTCCAACTCCGTAACAGTACCCCCCCTTTTAAAGAAGGTCGTCCTCGACCGAGTATCCATAATTAAGTTACCATCTAAATCATCATAATCGTCCCTTCCACCTTCCCA